CAATACTTAACTTGCTAGATCTATCCGCTGCTTTTGACACGGTTAACCACCAGATCCTCCTGTCAACCCTATTGGCAAAAGGAACCATCTCAGGAACTGCACTCTAGTGGTTTGAGTCTTACCTCTCCGATAGGTCCTTCAAGGTATCTTGGAGAGGCGAGGTGTCCAAGTCGCAACATCTAACTACTGGGGTGCCTCAGGGCTCAGTTCTTGGACCTCTTCTCTTCTCTGTCTACATGGCATCACTAGGTTCTGTCATTCAGAAACATAGCTTTTCATATAACTGTTATGCTGATGACACACAACTCTACCTCTCATTCCATCCTGATGATCTGACGATAGCTGCTCGGTTCTCAGCATGTCTAACAGACATTTATTGCTGGATGAAGGACCATCACCTTAAACTCAACCTTGCCTAGACAGAACTGCTTGTGGTTCTAACAAACCCATCACTTGATCACAATTTCACCATCCAGTTAGGCACATCAACCATAACTCCTTCAAAAACTGCCAGAAACCTTGAAGTTGTGATTGATGATCAGCTGACTTTCTCAAGACCACATTGCTTAAACTACCCGGTCCTGCAGATTGCTTTATTCAACATCAGGAAGATCAGGCCCTTTCTTTCAGAACATGCTTCACAACTCCTTGTTCAAGCTCTTGTTCTGTCCAGGCTGGACTATTGCAGCCAGTTCTAGCGAACCTTTACAATTAATCCAGAACGCGGCAACAAGATTAATTTTTAATGAGCCGAAAAAAATGCACGTCACACCTGTTTATCAGTTTGCACTGGTTACCAATAGCTGCTTGCTTCTACTAAATACTGAGCAAAGGGTCTGAATACTTAGGACCATGTGATATTTCAGTTTTTCTTTTTTAATAAATCTGCAAAAATGTCAACAATTCTGTGTTTTTCTGTCAATATAGGGTGCTGTGTGTACATTAATGAGGAAAAAAAATGAACTTAAATGATTTTAGCAAATGGCTGCAATATAACAAAGAGTGAAAAATTTAAGGGGGTCTGAATACTTTCCGTACCCACTGTATGTTTGTGTGGGTGTGCATGTGTGTCTATTTCTCTCTCTTTATATTTGTATTTGTGTAGTTGTTAGAATTTAAAATTATTTATTCCTGTAATGGCAAGGCTGAATTTTCAGCAGCCAGTACAGCAGTTTTCAGTGTCACATGATTTTGCAGAAATCTTTACTGTCAGTTATGATTTAATTAAATGCATCCTTAAAAAAAATAAATCACTGACCATAAACTCCTAAACTGTAGCATATAGTATATGCATAATCTTTGTTTTTCAGTATATTTAAACAAAAATATTAATCCTTCATGTAAAAGCAGTGATTTATTGGCCTGTGGCTATAAAATAAAATTATGCATTCATAACTTGTCACAACAATGTAGCAAAATAAACTCGTTTACTATTTACTACTTTCAAGAACTTAACAACACATTTTTCTCCATTCTATTTTTATGACAGTGAAGACTTTTTTTTTTTGAATGATTTGCATTATGTGCTTGCTCACAAAGGGTTATTTTGGTAGAAAGGCCACTAATATTTAGGTCTAACAATAGCCGGTGAAGTGAAGGGCCAGCTGCTCCAAACCATGGCACAATTCACATAGACAATCTGTAGTAGTTAACACTACATTTTTTTGTGGCAAAGTGCCCATGCCTTGCAGGTAAACAGTGAAAATGACATCAGGTATCTTGAGGCTTGAGGGCTAAAGTATTTGCTGTGTTTGTGATATTGCCTGTGATGGACACACAGTATTATTTTTCTTCTTTTAAAGCAGCAGCTTAATATTATAAATCCAAAAATGAAAACTGCTGAAAATGTAAGCAACCTATGGCCATCCAAGATGTAAATGAATTTGTTCCTACAGAACAGATTTAGAGAAATCTAGCATTACATCACTTGCTCACCAATGAATCCTCTGCAGTGAATAAGTGCCATCATCACAATAATTCACAAGTAATCACATGATTCCGGTCCATCAATTAATGTCTTGTGAAGCAAAAAGCTGCATGTTTGTAATAACTTCTGGTCAAAATGCCAGTCCATAATAACTTCACTTCCTTCGAGTGAAAAAGTCAATGCCCGGTTGTCCTGTCAAAAGCCACAGACATATTTTTCTAGAATTGTTTTCACTTGTAAACGGTGCTTGATCTGTGACAAACACAACATTTTTTCTTCACAAGACATTCATTGGCAGACTGGAGTTGTGTAGATTACATGTGGATCATTGTGATATTTTTATCAGCTCTGATTCTGACGGCACCCATTCACTGCCGAGGATTCACTGGTGAGCAAGTGATGTAATGCTAGATTTCTCAAAATCAGTTTGGAATAAACAAACTCATTTACACCTTGGATGGTCTGAGGGTGAGCACATTTTTCTTTCTGGGTAAACTAGTCTTTAGAGTACTTTCCACTATTCAGTCCAATATGTCAACTTCTGGTTCAACCAATGGTGTGAGTTTAGGGCAGGATTACCTGTTTGTCCAAAAAAGGAAGAGCATCCCAATTTGCATACTTGTTCTGCTATTTTATATTATGAAAAGTTTGCATAGTGTATTAACTAAAAATTCCAATAAGTGCACTTAAAATACTACCAGATGATGCACTTATTTAAAAAATGTAGAAACCCTTTAAAACACTTCTGCAAACACACTGCAACACCCATGGTGGTAAATTTTGTGTGGGCAAGCATCAAGAATCTAGCTCTTTTCATTCTATTTATGGCACAGACTAAAAAAGAAGCAGATTTTTTCAAAACCTTACGTGTGTAGCAAAACTTTTGTATGAATGGGAAGTAAGGTAAGTTTCTAAATAGGTTGATGTGACTAGTATTCAGACCACAGTCACAGAGAGTAAGAGGATGGGGTTTGGTTTTCATCAAAAGCTGTGCGCCGTTTTTATTGTAGTATTCTAAATTTACATTAAAAAAAAGAAAGTCTGCCCATGTCCTAGATCCATTATGAAAGTTAACGCACAAATTCCATATACATCTCATTGTATTTTACATAGAGGATAAGAGTATAGTCATGGAGGTGGCATGATCAATCACAAAGCTTAAAAGAACCAAAAAAAAACAATCCTGAATAAATAAGGTGCTGTCTATTAGCAGAGAGTATGTAAGCATGTCACTCTTTTGAGAAGTTTAACAAAGCCCGTAGCGTACCTCTCACACTCTCCTTTTACCAATGAAGAGAGAGGGGTTCCAAGCGTACTAAAGCAGAAATGTGAGGAGTAGAGTGAGACGACAATGGAGAGCCTAACTTGTCTGTACAGGTGCATAAGTTAGAGAGTACATCTGGTGGTTACACAGACACTAAGACATCGACGTCTAGTTAAAATGGTATAAAGCAGGTTATCTTTTGTCGATACCTGTATATTCTTTTTCTTGTAGGCAACAAGACATTTTTAAGGTGTTAATTTGCCTCGGCCAATTAGGCCAGACCATTTGAACGTCCAATAGAGCGCAACAGTGCGGTTTTGAAAGTAAAAATCCCATTTACTTACTCCATAGAGAAACCGGTTTTTAACGTGAAAACCTCTGAAAAAGATGAGCTGAGTTTCAATGTCATTTAAACCCCCCTCCCATAGAAGAATTTACTCTGAGGAACTACACTACCCATAATTCTGAAGAGAGCTCCACCAATCAGAGACTTTGCTGTTATCATGGAAACAAAAATCACAGCAAGAGTTCAGTAACGACTACCTACTCTCACTAAGCACTGTGAATTACAAACAAGTAAATGCTTGTTCACACCAAAACGAATATTTGTTGGGCCAATTTGATGCGATAAAATGTTTAATTTTAAATCAACAGCTGTTAATGTGTCTGTTCAGACCAACATGAACCTTCGTACACCATCAATGCGACAATTTGTTTATTTTTACGGAAAGGTGTTCTATTCTTTTTCCATTGCACTGCGAAGAAAACTGGCCAACCAATAAGATTCTCACATGTGATAACATGTCCAGAGCCACTACTGTTACAGTTTGAATTAGCATTTTTATTCAGCCTGTCCTGCATTTTTATGCATTGGTCCAAACAGACAAATTCATATGCAAAAATCGAACCAAATTTGTGGCAAATTCTTGGTAACAGTATTTAAATCTCCTCAAACTTTCAAACTACTTCTAGATGTTAAATTACAGTAGTTAGCATTTGAAGTGGATCAAAACCTAAAACCAAAAAGCATTCTGGTCTTAAGACAACTTTGATGAACTTTTTTGATCCACCAAATGTTGACTGTGTGTTGCAATATATAAATACACAATGTTTTTATCCTTATAAGGACAAATAAGTCAGTAATTGTAGTTTAATCCATCAAGGTATGCAACCTTGTACCTTTATGTTTTTCATACCTTTTTATTTTGAAAAACAAATTAAATTTGCATATGGTGCGTTGTAATTTATCTTGGAACTGGTCAGTTTAGTTATCCTTATGGAGAAAATGAATGGGAAAGACACTGTCGCTGATCAAGTGTGCGTTCACTGTTGTGCTCTACAGCGTCACAGATGAGGAGGAGCAGATTGGAGCCGAGTGACAAGCATTTAGCAGTTTTTCTTGCGAAGCTACTAGGTTTCAATTTTGCTGTTGATTTCCATATTAAACTAAAAGAAAAGTAAAATCCTAAATTTGTAGATATTTCACCCATTTCAAATGGGCTATGTTCAAGTAACCCTGGGAAAAAAAGTTAAAGAAAGCTTTGGGATATTTTGCCTTTTTAATGACAAGGTCATTAAAAATCATGCACGCTGCAAATAACCTCATGCAGTAGTTATGGTAAACCATCCAAGCACTTTTTATTCATTAATATTCATAAATACACACAGCAGCTTCATTAGAGAAGGTCTCTTGTTTCCTCTTCAGTTTTTGAATGTGGAGTATTTATAAGGAGAGCCTTTTGCAAGACACAGGAAGCAGAGGTCTGCCACAGATACCTACGCTCACCTGCTAAAGGAAAAAAATTAGTTATGTGGAATTGATTATCAACTTATATTTATTTATATATTTATATTTCTTATTTTCTCTCTCGTTCCATTTATCTGTCTCTCGGTTTATCTCACACGCCTGTTCTGATGTATTTTGATTTTTTTCCACTCTCGCTCTCCTTTCATGGATTTATACAATGTAACAAAGGTGACAGACCTGAAATTACAATCACCAAAAAAAAAAGAAGAAAAAAAAGAACAAAATTAGAGAGAGCTGTGTTTTTTGCCCACCGTCATTGGCAGTTACAGCACAGAGGACATTGTCTGCGTTGTGGTGGGATATCATCAAAGAGGAGGTGGTGGAGGCTCCTTGCCTGTGGAGCTCTCCTTCAGGTTGAGGCTCTCCAGAGCCACGTCTAAAGGCATGATGTCCACGCAGCCCATGGCGCCGAAGTCAGCAAAGTCTCGCCTTTCGTCCTCGTCGGAAGACGAGCTCTCTTCTCGCATTAGTGTGGACAGCAGCAGCTCCTGCACGAACAGGCTGCGGTCCGCGCGCTCGCTCTCCAGCGCCTGCCGTTCTGCCTCGGACATTTTCGGCTCGTTCAACCTGGTGGAATTAGACGGACAAATACTAAACTAGAAATCTAGAAAATCTATTTCAATCTATTTGATTGCACTTTTCTGAATTCCGTTTTTAATGGTTTAATTACATACAAATAGCTAAATATTGTGTCTAATTAATTAATACAATTTCAACAATTACCATTTTAATGATACAGGGCCCTATAAAATGTTTCACCTTTTCAGAAATTCTAGTTTTTCTGGATTTTGTGCTTTATGGTTGTTACTACATTAATTATGAAAAATGTTAATAATCAAATGAATGCATAAAACTTTAACTGTTTCATGAATCTTTTATAATGTAATAAAATTACAATTTGATTCCTTTTTTCATCAAAGAAAGTGTTGCACAATAGAAGTTTACTGTCTAATTGTGCTGTCATTAACAAAACATTTTGTGATATTCCTTAATATTTTAAATTGTACTTTTATTATTGTTGTAATTTTGAGAAGCACATATACTGTACAAAACTAAGTAATATATTTCTGTCATAATTTCAAGTGAAAACAAACTTTTATTTTGGGAGGTCATAGAAGACTTTGGTCCAGATTTACGCCAGCACAAACCATCTTTTGGTGTTAAAAGAGTTCTGTCAGGATTTACTAAAGACGAGCAGTGAAAAATTTACGCTGAATAGCGTGGACAGTTATTTTTGTGACTCACCTTATTGAATATGCATTTGTAGGAGTTTCCCTTTCAGATGCAAAATTTATGGAAAGAGAGTATTAAAATGAATCACGCAAAGTGATTTACTAACATTAGCACTCGTCAAATTACTGGTATTTCTGGCATTATTTAACGCCCCAAAAAATGCATGTCTTAAAGCAGGCGGTAATTTGTGCTGCTCTTGGTAGACTGCGCTGGTCATTATAGAAATGATCTGGCTGTGTCCGTGTTCTGTGATGTAATGTGTGCATTGTCAGTAAATCACCCACAGAATTTGGCCCTCCCATCGGCGCTTTTATGGAATTGCTCTCTAACGCTAATTTGCGCTATTTAGTAAATCTGGCCCTTTGAGTTTCTGCGATCGTTTTAACAAATTAAATGCTCGTGACCTGAACTCTCAGAGCAGCTCTGGCTATGAAGTTCACATGTTCATTTTCTTGTTAAATTTGACTTATTTTAACCAAATTATGCTAAATTTGACTTATTTTATTTTTTAACCAAAAATATCCAATTATTTATTTATTTGTTTGTTTTTAATTTTCTGAAATATCCAAGTATAAATTGTAATTCAGGAACTTAAACATGATCATCATAGAGGGAGGTGTATTATTTTTAAAAATAAATTAATTATATGGGGGGGGACGTTTAAGGTACTTTTAATCAGTCATTAAAAGCGTAAAAGCTGCAACTATTATATTTACTTGTTTGGAAAAGAGCAGCTTGGCATTCTACTAAATATCTCAAATTGTGCTCTATGGGGGAAAATTAACAGAAGTCAACAGAACTGATGATGTAAGAAGAATCCCTTTAATAAAGTGCATCCATCCATAATAAAACATGCCTCGCAGGGGGCATAAAAAAATGTCCGGCCGGGATTTCTTAATTGCCCAAAATGTCCGGGATTCGGCTGTTTTCTTAATCCCACTCCTGCTTGGAGGGGGGGGGGGGTATGTGGTCGATAAAAAAAATATCCATATTTAAAGGGTTATAAACAACTTTCACTTCTAACTGTTGTAGGCGAAAGCCGTTCCGGGCGGATGAAGTAGGACACATGCGTAGCGTAAGCGCCGGTGATTAGTGACGAAAACGGAAGCGCAACAGAGAGAGAACAAAACCAAACACCGGTCACGAATTAGAAGCACAAAATGAGGATTTATAAAGAAAAATGTCAGAGGATTTCGATATAAGCCAAGAGGAGACTTGTTTTCCATTGCTAAAGTAAGGAAACTTTACTTTACTTCCTTTTTGGACGTTTGCTTCCTTTGCTCGTTGTAAACAAACACTGTTTTTTGCGTGATTCACACATACATGCGCTACGCCTATGTCCTACGTCATCTGCTGGAAAGGCAGTCTCGTGAATGCGCGTATGACAGTTGGCGGAAGTTACACAAAACTGTTAAAGGGGTCATATGATGCGATTAAAATTTTTTCTTTCTCTTGGAAGTATTACAAGCTCTTGGTGCACAAAGAAGCTCTGTAAAGTTGCAAAGACTAAAGTCTCAAATCCAAAGAGATATTCTTTATAAAAGTTAAGAGTCAACCACGCCTCCATAAAACGGCTCGTTCTAACACGCCCCCACATGTCTACGTCACGATGTGGGAAGATTTGCATAACGCCGCTCAAATGTTCACGCAAAGAAAGACGACGTAACTTTTATTCTTGCTGTAGTATTGTTGCTGCCGCCATGTGGAGACGCTGTGTGCTTCGTTGTGAAAGCGAAACTACTTTGTTTGGTCTTCCAAAAGAGGACGATATCCGCTTCGTCATGCCTGGAGCTGATCCGTGCTGGTCGCTGAGGAAATACATCAACTTCGCGCTGTGGATCGCCGGATCAGTTTTCACCGTGGATGAAGCGCAGTCCAGCCCGGGGCCGTCACATGTGGTTGCCGCAAACCGCTCACTCAAGCCGGCCTCCGCTCACTCTAGTCCGCCGTTATTCTTTCCATTTATTTTATTTTTATTTGTTATAATGACCTTCTAACACTAGCATTATCTGTTCTTTTTCTGTTTTATTGAATTGTTTTATTTTTATTTAAAAATGAGCCTCTAACACTAGCTTTCCCTATTTTTTTCTATTCTTACTAGTTTTTTTTTACTTATTATAAAAACAAAATAAGCAAACAAACAAACAAAAAAAACCTTGCTACATATACTGTTAGGTGAAGCCCCGCCCAATTTTTATTTATTTATGTTTTAATAAGTATCGGTTCAGGCACCGTTTAGGCACCAGAACCGTTTTAAAAGTATCGATTTGGCACCGGTATCGAAAAAAACCCAACCCTAGTGTAGAGTAGCGCTTGTTTGTCATTTTTCCGATCACAAATGCAGACATGATTTTATGTTAACGCGGCGCGATGCAGCCAATGCTTAAAAAGACAGTACAAGTCATTATAATCCGTAATTATGTCCCCACTGGATGCAACAAATGCCTCGTTTATAATGGGTTTTAATGTTTTTGAATCATCGCTCCGGAACAGGACATCACAGTATGGTAAGGGGCGTAACATTTCCGTCACACACTTGAGGTATTCGGCGAATCACAACGCACTGGATAGCTGGCCAATCAGAGCACATCTCTTTTCAGACCGATGAGCTTTGTAAAAATCGACGCGTTTCAGAAAGGCGGGGCATAGAGGAGAAACAATAATGTACAGTATGTGGAAAATAATGTTTTTTTTTTTTACTTTAAACCGCATAAACATTTCATTACACCAAATACACAAAATAATGTTCTTTTTAGCAACATCATACGACCCCTTTAATATCATTTTAAATGTGGATATGTTTTTAAACAAAAACACATCAATTTGCTACAGGAGGCCTTTGTTCACCCCCGGAGCCGTGCGAGGCATGTTTTATTACGGATGGATGCGCTTTATTTGACTACTTTTGGACTGTTGAACAAAAACACCTGCCCATGCCATTATAAAGCTAGGAAGAGCAAGGACAATTTTTAATATAACTCCGATTGGATTAGTCTGAAAGAAGAAAGTCATATACTCCTAGGATGCCTTGAGGTCGAGTAAAACATGGGCTAATTATCATTTTTGGGTGAACTAACCCTTTAATAATACATAAACAATCTTGAGTGTATGGTTATGTCTGAGCCGTACCGTGTGAGAAGAAACTGGGAGCTGTGGGAGGCCAGCGGGTTGCTCTCAGTCATGGCTGTGTTTGTGGCGGTGTTGGGCGGCGGAATGCTGGCGCTGATGTTGCTAGGGTTGCTGCGTTGGCGTGTAGCGTTACGGGCCGTCTCCAGCTGCTGGCGCGCCGCCTGTGCCTGCTGGCGCTCCAGCTGAAGCTGCATTTGCAGTTGCTGCAGCTGCGAGGCCGAGGGGCCAGAAGAGTTAAGCTGTCCTCCTGCGGAGCGCCGCACACCCGACAGCTGAGAGAGCAACTCTGGTGATGCAGACACAGGGAGAAATACGACAACCACAAAAAAAAGAGTGTGTGAGAAGACAATCAAAACAACACTTGCATCAACAAAAAGAAAGTCCATAAGCCAATTAAGTTAAGGCCTGTATTACACACCTGCTATGGGGTCCATGGCTTCCCTATTGCTTGGAGAGTAGGAGGAGCTTTGTGAAGAGGAGAGCCCACCAGTGGAGCTGCTGGTAAAGTGCATGTTAGTCCGGCGTGCCCGCGGACCGCCCAGTCCCCGCCCAGGGTGGAACATCCGACGAACGTGCCGTACGCCGCTGCTCTCATCGTACACACACTGGTTAAGGAGCAACTGGTTGAGAATGTGTCACGTCCCAACACACCTCACCTCTCATCTGGAATCATCTAACAATTTCAGGTTTGAGTCTGATAAGGTGTCGTGATTTTATTGCCTTTTTTGCTCCACACTTTTCCATCACTTTATCACTTTCTCTGTTAGAGAGAGATTTCACCCAAAAATTAATTACTCAGTCTCATGTCGTTCCAAACCTGTAAGACCTTTGTTCATTATTAATGACAGAATTTTCATTTTTGGTTGAACTATCTCTTTAAGCAAAGAGGCAAAAGCAAAAAAACTGTTTTAAACAGTTGATACAACAATTCATGGGCAGGAATGCAAAAATGCTAAGTTTAATTTGTAGTTTTAATAAAAACCCTGGAGCTGTCAAAAAACAGCCAGATGATACAAAGTGACGCGTTTTGTGTCCTCAGGTGAACTTTTACTGACAAATAATATGGGTATCTGAGTGCAGGTAACACAGAGTACACATTGTTCATTTACAAGTACTACCAACATTGCAACAATACAAAGCAGGTTGAAAATTACAAAGTTATCCTTAAAATTAAGAGTTTATAATAAATAAAATTTCATTCAGTCATTTACTCACACTCATGTCAATTCAAAGCTGTGTGTCTTTCCTTTCATGGAACACAAAAGGAGACATTCTAAAGACTATACCAAAGACTATAGAATACCCAAGACTTGTCACTCGTATAGTTTTGAATGTGGATAAATGCAACACTTAATATGGCCGCTCAATCGCAGGAGGCCCCGCCTTCAGAATGAAAGAGCCAATCACTAATCGGTAAAGTCAGCATGTCACTGCAGCTGCCGTTAGAAGTTCCGGTTGCTATAGAAACAGTCAGCGTTCTGAGACATCCGCTCAGGACTGCGCATGCGCATTGGCTGATCTAGCCTGAAAAATAAGCTTTTTATAACATTATTTGTGCAAAAGAAACAACATATATGACACAGTTGTTGTCAGATTTCATTGGTGATTTCAAATAAAAAATTTAATCATAAGCATAGTGAACCGTTTTGGAGAATTTGATGTTTCCCCATTCAAAGTGATAGGATCTGCACTTGCATGCCCGAGAGGCGTTTCAAAGATGGCCGCCGAGTGACATGACTTGCCTTAAAGGGATAGTTCACCCAAAAATGAAAATGTGATGTTTATCTGCTTACCCCCAGGGCATCCAAGATGTAGGTGACTTTGTTTCTTCAGTAGAAAACAAATGATAATTTTTAAGTCCAACCGTTGCAGTCTATCAGTCTTCAGGCGAGCAGGCTCAGAATACGTGAAAGTTATAACTCCCGAATGAGTTGGCTCGAGAGAACGTAATCTTTTCGTTTTAAGTCGGTTTGAACAATCCGGATAAGCGCAAGTGTCACACCTCACGCACCGGAAGCGGTGCGCACGCACAAAGACAGTTGGACGTAGTGGTGTATTAGAGGTAAAAAATTATATAAATACTGTTTGGTTTCTGGCACGAACAGATCGTTTCGTGTCTTAGGACATCAATGTGTCGTCACGAGCCGCAGGGTTTAATTTGGATTTGTCTGTGCATGTTTTTTTTACTCTCATAGATTTTGTTACCATTGCCAT